TGGGTACTCGTCGATCGCGCAGCAGTCAAGGGAAGGAGGATCTTCTCTGGCAAATGTGTTTTTTCGTGTGAAGACCACAGCTGAGGGCACGATCGAGCAATTCAAGGCACGATGGGTAGTGCGCGGCTACGATCAGAGGCACGTCATTGACTTCGACCAGACATTCGCACCGGTCAGCCGTCATACCTCCGTCAGAATTCTCCTCGCCATCGCCGCAGCAAGACACCTTCCACTCCGACAAATCGACGTGAAGAGCGCGTTCCTATACGCGTTATTGGATGCAGTGATCTACGTGGAGCAGCCGCACACATACGGCAAAGGGGATTCACGCGTCTGCCAGCTACGAACATCCCTTTACAGGATCAAACAGGCACCAAGGCTCTGGCATCAGTACCTGCACAACATACTGCTTGAAATCGGGTCCAAGCAGTTGCCTCACGACCCTGGGATGTATCGCCGCGATTTCCGCGGCGAATACATCTTACTCACGGTCTACGTCGACGACCTCCTCTACACACGGTCAAGCAACGAGTTACTTGAGCTGTTCGAGAAGAACCTCGCGGGGCGTGTCGATATCACCTGCAACCAGGACATGAAGCAATTCCTCTGGCTCAACATCTCCTACTCGCCGGAAGCCATTCATCTCTCAGCAGCCAAATGCGCAGAGGAACTTAGCAAGCGTTTCAACATTCCGCCTGCACCACTCTCCACCCCTTACCGCACTCCAGGACCCAACCACAAGCCTGACAACAAAGCTCTGTCCCCTGTCGGGCTTCACACCTACCAGCAGCAGTTGGGATGCCTGATCTTTGCATCTGTTACATGCATGCCCGACCTCTCCTACATCGCGAGCCAGTTGGCTCAGTACTTACGCAAACCAACGGCTGAGAATCTACCAGATCTTCAGCGAGCACTTTAGTTCTTCATTTCCGCACCCAATGTTGGGCTCTACTACTCCACCACCCCACCTCGTCGTTCAACCTCATCGGCTACGTGGACACCGATCATGCTGCAGACCCCGACAATTGACGGTCCAAGACAGGCTTCCTCTTCCGCCTCGAGCCCAGCGGCCCCATCTTCTCGAATTCACAGAAGCAGGAGCTGGTTGCCCTGTCATTGGCAGAAGTTGAGTTCATCACAGCGACAACAACCGTTCGCGAAGGTCTCTATCTTCAAGAACTGCTGCAGGAGGCGAAAAGTCCAGCCTCGGCGAACTTTTGCCTGCACTGCGACAACCAGAGCGCGATCAGGATCGCGAACAAACCGGGATTCGTCAACCGTACCAAGCACATCGCGCTGCGGTACTTTTTCGTCAAAGACGAAGTTCACAAAGGCAAGATTGACCTAACCTACTGCCCGACAGGTGACATGGCAGCTAACTTCCTCACAAAGAAGCTGTCACGTCAGCAGTACCAACACTGCTCCGAACTTAGCGAGGTAGTCAAGCGGGTCAAGACTCGCTTCGGCCAGGAGTGAAGTGTCAGAATGTTATTGTTCTCTAGCCTGCAGTGGGGTACTCTATAGCGAGTACAACCCCTTAGGGTTTCCTATATGTATCCTGCTGCTTTCTAGTGAACACCCTCCTTTGCTTATTCTCTCTTGCCTAGCTAGGACCTACCTAGCTATGGCTCCTACTTGTGCTTACTATCTTAACATGGTTTCAGAGCACTCACGCTCCTGGCCTGTGGGCCCTACTGCTGCTTCCGCTGCTACTCTGTGTGTTGCACGCCCCGTGGCGTGCGACGGATTTCTCTTCCCGCCGCGCGCTCGGAGCGTGCGGCGGTTTTCTGCCCGCCGTGCGCCCCGAGGCGCGCGGCGGTTTTCTGCCCGCCGTGCGCCCTGGGGCGTGCGGCGGTTCTCTGCCCGCCGTGCGCCCCGAGGCGCGCGGCGGCCTTCTGCCCCGTCGGTCCGCGCGTCGCCCCCGGGGGGCGCTTCGACGGGCGACGGGGACCAGCCCGTCGTCCCCCATCGCACGTCCTGGCCAGCACGGGCTGCGCTAGCCCCGAGCGCGGCCCGTACGGGCTGCGCCCGGCCCGCGCGCGGCCCGTACGGGCTGCGCCAGGCCCGCGCGCGGCCCGTACGGGCTGCGCCAGGCCCGCGCGCGGCCCGTACGGGCTGCGCCAGGCCCGCGCGCGGCTCGGGCCGCCTGCGCGCGGTTCGTCGGGCTGTGCCAGGCCCGTGGGCGGCCCGTTCCTCTCTGTCCCTGAGCTGCTCGCTGTCCCCCGTGCTTCTGACGGTGCCCCACCCCTGCTGCTGCCCGTTCTCCTGAATTAGGGTTTGGGGGTGAGGAGTGTGGGGGTGGCGGTTGTGTGTTACTCCCCTTGCTCCTCCTCCTCCCTGGTCTCCCACTGCTGCAGCTGCCGCTGAGGGGGGTGGGTGTGTGGGAGCCTAGGGTTTAGGGTTTAAGGGGGGTACCGTGGGAGTGGAGCTAGGGCTTGAGCAGGGGGTGTGTGAGAGGGGCGTGGGGCAGCTGGAGGAGGTTGTGTGGAGGTAGCGGTCGTGTCGCCTGCAGCGCCTGTAGTCCGTCGCCCTTGCTTCGGTAGCCAGTGAGCCTGTTGCACCAGTCGCCAGTGGGTCCGTTGCTCCTGCCGCTCGTCTATAGCCGCGGAGCCAGTTACTCCAGTAGTCCGTCGCCCTTGCTTCGGTAGCCACTGAGTCAGCCGCTCCTGTGCCCGTGCCTCTGCAGCTTCAGTCGTTGCCTCCCATCTTCTCTCCTTCCACAGTTCCTCCTCCTCCTCACTTGCCCTCTGCGACTGCCTCTAGCTTTACTTGTGCATGTGAACCTGCTCTAGGACTACTTGCTCTGCTGATTATACCCCACTTTGACTATGGGGGTGTGTCAGAATGTTATTGTTCTCTAGCGTGCAGTGGGGTACTCTATAGCGAGTACAACCCCTTAGGGTTTCCTATATGTATCCTGCTGCTTTCTAGTGAACACCCTCCTTTGCTTATTCTCTCTTGCCTAGCTAGGACTTACCTAGCTATGGCTCCTACTTGTGCTTACTATCTTAACATGAAGGGGGGGTGTTACGAATAGTGATTATTGAAACATTACTGTGCACTCCTCACCGTAGCAAGCGAAGCACACACTATCGAGGTTGAAGATGAAAGGGCGGAAGTGACGCGAAGGGTCGCACGGTTACGAGAGCATCTGGACCGTCGGGCAGACAGCATCAGGCAGCAGCAGTGGCGAGGATTTTGCCTGAACAGTTTCGTAACTGTCCGGAGTCGCACAGTTGGAGTTCACTGTAATAAGGGAATGTATTCCTCAGTCTACATGGCTAGCTAGGTCGATTGGTATTCCCCTGTACTCTTACCGTCATCGCACGGATATAAGACATATATGTCTTATCTCGTACACGGGCAAAAATGCTTGGGTTGTCTTGTATTTGGGACGGATTAGGGTGTCTTATAAGTCTTATAAATGGACAAAGAACCGTTTAGAAGACACCCCCTCGTTATACAATTGCCCCTAACCCCTACACACCCTTAACTCGTACACACAAATAGGTGTCTTATAATGAGGCTAGCCTGTTTATAAGAGACACCCGGATAATAGACAACCCCTGTCTACTATTCAACACTGTCTACTATCCGGGCGATGACGATATTTTTAGTGCTGTATTTGCATGTTTTTATTATCTCAAACATTTACATTCACTCTGCTATTGAGGTCAAGGGCCCACCACCACAAAATCAGTAGTGTTCGAACCTTCCTGGGGTGATCCTGACTACGATCAACTTCTGATCGCAACATTATCAACAGCATTTTCACTTCAGTTAGGGTAAATTCCTAGCTCGTGTCTGACATCAGGTCATAGGCCCTTAGTCTCTGATTTGCCTATTCTGAATGTTGTTTTGCCCCAATCCCGAGCCACTTCGGGTCTTCCGGTCCTCCACTTCGTGTTTGACCTGATGTCAGACACGAGGTAGGAATGTACCCTTATAACCTTTGATAAATAGCTTACACATTTTGTGAGAATACCGGTAAGAGATCATCAACTTCATCTCGTGTTCCGAAGTGAGGTTCTCGATATCCCTAAATGAGTTTTTGTTTGACTGGCTGACGCGTTTCTGCACTGCATCAACCTCACGGTAAGGGGCGTATCCACCTAGTTAGCCTGGCGCTGAAGTTTACAGCCGGGCAGTGAGATATGACCTACAGCATGAGACCCCCCCTTCTTAGTGTACCTTATCAAACAGCTAGTGTACCAGCCACTCTTCCTGGGCATCCGACGAGTCAATCGGTTTTGACCCTAGTTTTTGTGACTCGAACCTTCCGGACACGCCCGCATCCTCCAACAACGTCTGATCGAGTTTCACCCAATCCCATCCGTTCGACTTCGCACCGCATTCCCCGCTCCCTTAGCGACCTCGTTCTTGGCCACAGTACCGCGTTCCACGACCCTCCTCACCTCACAGCGCCGTGGTAGCGTCGAGCTCGCACTTCAAGTAGCCAGCCCACAGCAGCCATGGAGCCTCGTGAAGTGCCGCTTCTGTGCCATAACCCCCTGTTGTGCCATCTCGCCGTCGCTCTCTCTGCGAGACTATCTCGCCGCGCCTCATTCTGCCCAACCATCGTCGGCGAATCTGCGCCCATATCTCGCCAACCACTGCCATCCACCATCGCTACCGTCACCTGCGCTGCGCCTCACTGCCGCGCCTCTCCGCTGCGCCGATCGGTTTTCCGCTCCGCTCGCCACGATGGGCGGCTTTCCGCCGCTGCTCGCGCTGCTCGCGCTCGCCCTCATTCTCGGTCAGTCCACCAGCCATGCTTTCGTCCGTCGCTTGCCTCTTTTGTGCCCACCAGCATCGCATCTCGCCTTCGCCCTCGCGTACACTGGCAGTGAATCCGCAGCGCGGCTCTCCCCGCGTCACCATAAGCGCCATTTGCGTCCGTACACCACCGGAATGCGGGCCGAACGAGAGCAGACCACACCAACTTCCAACTCCCCGCTCTGCTCTGTTCCCCTCTCGTCCCTTCTCGCCCTCCCCTGCAGCGAGTGACGTCATCCGCGGGGCGTCCGCCCAAGGGGGCCGTTTGGAGGTGCCGGCGACGCTGGCGGTGGCGACGCGGATCACGCTGGGCAGCTTCGCCTTTAACTTCACGGCGGCGCGCTGCAACAACCTGCCGCGCACCACCCCCAACGCCACCGTGCAGTGGTCGTCCAAAGCCACGCCCACCCTCCCCGCGTGCAAGAACCTCACCTTCTGGAGCGGCGCGTCTTGCTCCGCCACCTCCTCGTACTTCCTCACGAGGCCCCCAAGGTCAGCGGGACGCCCGTGCGATGGGATGTGTGGCCTGGGTCGGGTGGGGTACGGTGTGGTCAGGTTTGATTCGACTAACTTGTTGCCAGCGAACCCAAACAGGACACGTACTGTGACCTGACACGATGAGACAGTGTTGCGACAGCATTTCTATTCTCGCATGCACCCCGTGCCTCCCCTCAACAGCCTGACCACCAACACCTCCCAAGCCACTCTCCCCTATTCGACGGCAGTGTCGGCTCGCTGCGCTATCGGTATGCTCCTTGTCGCCCTCCCTCTAATAAAGTGCCTGTCGCTGCACAGCAATCCCCTGTTCTGTCAGTGTGCAAGGAGCTAATCCCATGTGCGTGCTGCTCTGCGTGCAGACAACATGTGCCAGTACACCAAGTGCCCTGCGGGCTCCACCTGCAAGACAACCACGGACACCAGAGGCGTCACCTGCGCTTGCAATGAGGGCCTTTACGCCTACCAGGGCACATGCCAAAGTAAGCCACTCCTAGCGCCCCCATTTCAACACCAGCCTCTCCCCGTGCACGGGCTTGCAGCATCGCTTGCCACTCCGCCTGCCCAATTGCATGCCCCACGAGCGCCTCTCTCTCTCTCTCTTCCTCTCACCAGACTGACTCCCTCCTCTTTCTTCGCTGCCCCTGTGCCCTCCCCGCCCGCCCTGCATCTATCACGTGACGCCATCAGCCCTAGAGATCGCAGTGCAATCGCCGGCCTATGACGCGCTGATTGACGTCACTGCCATGGGGGCGCCCACGGAGGTGGAAGCCAAGCTGCCAGTCGCCACGCAGCTGGCAGTGGGCGCCTACAGCGTCCCCTTCGACCCCTCCTCGCGCTGCACCCGCGTGCCTGATGGCACCACGTATGCGGGCGTGAGCACGCCTGTGAGCGTGCAGTGGGGCACTACCAGCGCGCAGGGGGGCCGGGCGAGTGCGCCGTGCTCGTCGCTGTGGTTCTTCAGCGGCAGCAGCTGCAACAGTGGCACGTCGTTCAGCAGCCTCAGCAAGACCTCCTCCAGGTCAGTGCGTGCGGCGGCGCTGCGCTGCGTGATGGGATCAGGCAGAGCAAGGGCAGGCACAGAGAGGGAGGCGGAGCAAAGGGATGGGAGGGGAAAGGAGGGAGGGTGAAGATGGCATGAGTGGTGTTGAGTGGGGAGAAATCCGATGAGATCAGGGAAGGCAGGAGATTTAGAAAGCTGGAATTGGATTGCCATGATAATGACTTACAGCTGTGCTGTGTGTTGCCCTCTTGTTTTGCGTTGCCCCTTATGAGCAGCCAGACGGCCACGATCACGCCGACCACTCCACTCGCCTCTATTGATTGCCCAATCGGTACGTCTCCTTGCTGCCTTTCGCCCTTGCTACCTTCACCCCTTGCTACCTTTTTCTAAGTCAGTGAGAGATTGGCAGCGAGTCTGATTTGAGTCTGCTGCGCTGCTCGTGTGTGCAGCCATGCCGTGCAAGTACGCCTCATGCCCCAACAACTCGGTGTGTCTGGACGCAAGCGACAGCAAGCGAGCCACCTGCAAGTGCGACGAGGGTTATATTGCCGTCAACGGCACCTGCCGAGGTACGGTGCTGTGCTCACAACAGCTTCCCAAGGTGCACCGCTGTGCTTCCTTAAATACAAGTCTGTGCTCTCTGTCGTTACTCCTGGCGCATGCTCGGTACAGCCCATGGGGCAATGTCTCGTTCGCAAGCCCGAGTATTGTTCTGAAATGCGGAGCATGCATGGTTTGCTTGGGATAATCCACAGCTGTGATTTTTTTGGGTTATGGTCCCCAACCTTTGAACCTGTCAGTATAGTTTTTCCTGCTCTTTTGCATCACCTCCCTCCCTGCTGCAGACAAGTGCAGTGTGCTCTACCCGGTCAACGCCTATTGCATCAGGGATGCGGTCTTGGAGCCACAATGCTACTGCAACAAGGGATTCGATATGAGCGCTGAGGACGGTACCTGTGTTGGTGAGTACGCCGTGTTCCACCGGTATGAAATATGGGGATTGGAAATTGCACTTGTTGCATGATTTTGCAAATTCGCCCTGCCACGCGGTCAGCATGCTGCTCTTGTTGCTTTATTGCCTGATTCCGTTTGTTGTTCTGGTCCATGGCTCTCTGTCAAAACTGTTCAACATTCCATGTATCTGTATTCTCCTAATATGTATTCATCATTTATCCATGCACCTTCATTCCCTTCATGTTTGTATTCTTTTCATGGCAGACAAGTGTGCATCAGTAAACTGTGCGCTCAACAAGACATGCACAAAGGATGCTGACGGGACTCCATCTTGTACCTGCAGCACCAGCTTCAAGCTGGCGGCCGACAACACCACTTGCATCGTCAGTTGAACGAGTGTCACACACGGGCTGTGGTGTTGCCTCTAAATTACGAAACTTGAAACGACCTCGGTCTTAGGCAACGCGGAACGCATTCGTGGTTTAACCATCTTGCAGAATCTCTGCAACTACTGCAGCAGTGGGTGATAGTGATAGCACTCAGAACCAATGCTATGGGCGCCTTGAGTTCTGAGGCAACATTCTGTTTTCACAGCGGATGGTAATTTCCTCCTAAATCGCTGCCATAACTTACCTCCATATCTCTCCTTCCAACCCACGTGCACTACAGACAAGTGTGAGTTGGTGACTTGCAAGGGCAGCTCGAGTTGCGCCAGGGATGCGGACGGGAATACAAGATGCGATTGCATCAAGGGCTTCGAGCGTCTTCCGGGCAATGACACTTGTGCTGGTGAGCTGTCTTGGCTGGTTTGCTTCTCTATATCAGCTGTTCAAATAGCATACATGCTGGAATGCACCCAAGAACACCAAGGGCAATGACATTGTGATCAGCTGATCAGCTGGTGCGATCAGCTGGTGCGATCAGCTGGTGTGAGTGAACCTCTGGAAGGGAGTGAAAAGTACTTCCTTCATCCCATGATGGCCGCGTCAACACAGATGAAACCTCATCGTCATCCCTGTCACGCGTGTATCCTTCTCGTGTGTCCTTGGCAGACAAGTGTCTTTCGGTGAAGTGTGCGCTCAACAAGACGTGCACGAAGGACGCGGCTGGAACTCCGTCCTGCGTTTGCAGCACGGGTTTCAAGCTGGCGGCCGACAACACCACTTGCATCGGTGGGTAGGGGGAGTGCAACACACAGTTCGACCCACAGTCGTTGGAATTCTGGCTTGATCATAAAGGAATTCACTAGTAAATTGTGGGGGTTCACCACTTCATTCATTTGGCCTCCCCTCAACCTTGTTTCAGTGGTTGCTAAAATGCATGCATAGCCAACTTCCTGAAACTTCAAAGTTTTCAAGGATCAGTTGGCACTGTCGTCTCCTGATATGATACTATCCTCCCTCTTGCATGGTTTCTCTTGTTCTGCAGACAACTGTGCGGCGGTGAATTGTGGGCTCGGCGGCAAGTGCGTGTATAAGGAGAACGGAGACCCAACCTGCTCGTGCGATGCGGGATACCAGATGCCTCCGGACAAGCTGGTCTGCGTCGGTGAGTTGCAGAGATCTCCCCTCAAGGCTTCAGGTCCCTCAAAGCCTAAACATTGGAGTAGATTAGTAATAATTTGGTCTTAACCGTCTTTGAGAATTTATGCACTGTGTGCAAAGCTTATTTCTGAATTCCCTCTTATCTGTATTGTTTTCATGGCAGACAAGTGTGCTTCGGTGAATTGTGGGCCCAACGGCAAGTGCGAGAAGGATGCGGCCGGAAATCCGTTCTGTAACTGCACCACCGGATTCAAGCCATCTGCTGACAACCTTACTTGCATCGGTGGGTTGCAGAAGGGCAACACAGTCACCGTGACATTTTGAACTAAAACCCAATAAACCCTAGGCTTTGAAACTACCTCAGTTTGACAATATTCTCCCTTTTGCCTGGCTTTTTCTGCAGACACCTGTGCTGCGGCGAATTGTGGGCCCAACGGCACGTGTGTGAAGAAGCAGAACGGGGATCCAACCTGCTCGTGCAACGCGGGCTACCAGATGCCTCCTGACAAGCTGGTTTGCGTCGGTGAGTTGTAGAGGACTTGTCGTGCTCGCCCCAACATGTTGCCAACTTCTTGGTATAGTTGCCGTCCTGCGTGCTCCGCCCGCATTCCTCTCTTCAAGAATCATCCCTTTCCATTTTTCTATGCTCCACCCCATCCCTCCGTCCACTCTCGCCAGATTAGGCTTGCTACGTGTTGGGCTGCGAACCAGAAGGGGTGTGTGTGAACAACAACGGAGTCCGTTCTTGCAAATGGAGTAAGCATGTCTTCCCGCATTCCGTGCACCCAATTCATCCCTACCTTGCTTATTATGCAAAAGCTACCACTGCAGTCCCACATGGAGATGGTAAATTTCCATTCTCATCCCGGCATCTCTCTGCCCTGCCATGCGTCTCCCGTGCTTGCTGTGCTGCTCAGACTCACTCTGTGGCAGCTGCCCCACTGGAGCCGTCTGCAAATCCACCAAGGCAGATCTTCTGAAAGCAATTGACCCACAAGAACTCATTCGAACGGTCGATGCACCGTACTGCGAGTGCCCTGCGGGCTACGGGATGACCCCAACGGAGTGCATCAAGGGTGAGATTCAATAGCGCCCCTTCTGCTCCCCCTCTGTTTCTTCACACCCTGCATTCTCCTGACTCGCGTATGATGAGGGCTGACGAGGTGGAGTGGGGGGAGGGGGACCTTGAAGCCTTGAACCAATGCTGCAAACAATCATACCATCATCTCACTTTCATCTTGTTTTCAACCATCCTTGCTCCACATCTCTCCTGCTTCTTGTGCCATCCATCCATGTTCAGGTGCACCCAACCAAGTTCTTTCCACCAGCATGACACTCATCCAGGATCCCACAGCCAAGGACAAGGCATCCAAGCCCTACACCTTCCGCTTCAAGAATGGCTGCAGTCAGTTCCCGAAGGAGGTGGCCGGGAATTACACGGCTTTTTACGCCGTGAGTTGTCAGGACTGGGAATCTTACACCACGGACAATTGCACGTCGACCCCTGAAAGGAGTGGACACGGTGACACTACGTTTATGTATGCAGTTGCATTGCTGTAAGTGCCCAATCGTTGGACATTGATCCCCATTCTGCATTTCATTCACAATCTTGGCACTGCTACTATCAGCTCCGTTATATGCTTTCGTGCTCTTTTTTGCACCCTTGCTCATTCTATGCCGTCCGCTCTCAGTACTTACACTGTGTCCTCGATTCTGTTTTTTCTTTGTTTCATCATCAACCAGGAATGGTCCTCTACCCGGGCTGCTACACAACTCGTATTGGTGCGGGCCTCGCTGATTCTCTTGCTGATCGCTTTTGAGCCAATGAGCAACTCTGGAGAGCGCCTGGCATCATGAACTCGGTTGCTTTGTTGTACAATATTAAGTCGTTTCCCGCTTAGTACCAGCACCGCATCCCTTCCCTCTCTCGGGGTTAGTGACCATGACATCAGTTTCTCATGCGGTAGGCCTGATCCACCTGTTCTTTCTTCCGTGTCACATGCATGCTCTCTACGATAGGCGAACTTTGTTGGCTGGTCTGCTGTCTGTATGCCTGATAATCCAGTGTGTGATTCCTGTCAGCTTTTCCATACCAATACCGGTACCGGCGTTAGAATCTATCAGGCAGGAATGAATGCACTATGGAAGAGTTGGGTACAAGTATGAAACCGTAACGGGGCTGTACCCCATATTGGCTACCCCACTACAGCCTACACATATATAACATGCATATACTTTGACACACCCCCATAGGCAAAGTGGGGGAGAACAAGGGGTCACAAGACCAGTCAAGAGAAGCAAAGCAAGCTCAGGGTGGATCACAACGCCACCACACACACTGGGCACAACCAAAGGGCCACAAGGCCAGTTCACATGCAGAGGTATATATGCAACAACAACAGCACAGTGATCTCTACCTAGCAGAGCAAACATGCAGGTATATATATATATATCACAGTACAAGCAAAGTCTACAGCAAGTGAGGAAACGGGGGCACAAGGCCTAACAAAGTACAAAAACGCTGATGATCAGCAGACGGAAGTGCCTTGGTGAATATATAAGCAGTGTTGGCCCGAGTGGCCACGTAAGCAAGACGAAGCTGACCACGCTGCTGCAACTCTTGAGCGAGGAAGTAACGCAGAGCGATGTGCTTCGTTCTGTGCTCCGGTCTGTGCTCCTCACACAAGGCAATGGCGGCCTTGTTGTCTACGTACAGCACTGGAGGAGAACGAGGCCGCTCTCCCAGGTCGGTCAGTAGGTAGGTGAGCCAGCGTAGCTCCTGTGCAGCCATGGCTGTGGAGTAGATCTCAGCCTCACAACTGGAGCCGAGAACAGAGGACGAGCGTGTAGACCGCCAAGAAACAGAGACAGAGCCAAGGCTGAAGGTGTAACCCTGTGACGACCGCTGCGTAGCCAGGTCGTCAACCCAAGAAGCGTCCGAGTGACCAGTGAGGACAACTGGGCTCCGCCCTCCAAGCACGAGCCCCATGCCCGATGTACTGCACAAGTAGCGCAGTACCCTCTTAGCAACATCCATGTGCACCTTTCGGTGCCGACCAGGAGCCACGTAGCGAGCCAGAAGGCCAAGAGGGTACGCAAGGTCAGGACGAGTGCAGGTCATCAGGTACATGAGGCAGCCCACTAGCTCTAGGTAAGGACCACTCGGCTCTACGGACTCGTCCGAAGGTGGAGCTGAGAGCGAGTGACCTGTAGCCAGAGGAGTGTGCTGTGGCGAGGACCAGGTGAAGCCGAAGCGCTGAAGGACCTGATGCACCATGTGTGACTGAGTCAGTGTGATGGTGCCGCGTGCTCTGTCCCGGGTGATCTGCAAGCCGAGGTAACTGCGCAGCTCACCCAGGTCTGTGCACGTGTGTCTCTTCTGCAGCTCCGACTTCACCAGGGCGGAGACTGCAGACCGGCCGCCGGAGGCTCCACTGGGTACCAGGAGGGAACGACCCAGTGAAGCCAGGAGGGCGGCGCAGCCAGATCTCCTCGTGCAGGCTGCCCTGTAAGAAAGTTGTGCTGAAGTCAAGAGAGTGAAGCTCGTAGTCACGCTGAGCGGCAACGTGCAGCAGCACTCGAAGAGTGGTCATCTTCGGGGTGGGGGAGAAGGTCTGGAAGAAGTCAACTCCCTCTCGCTGACTGAAGCCTCGAGCCACGTAACGCGCCTTGAAGACAGGTGGAGAACCCGACGGCCGCTTCACCCTGAAAATCCACATGCCACTGACGATGTTCGCCCCAGGCGGGGGAACCTTGTCGACGTAGGTGCCTGTGGACTTCCAGGAAGCCATCTCTGCGTCCATGGCTGACTGCCACTGAGAGGAGTAGGGACCCTCTATCGCCTCCGCGTAAGAGCGCGGAGTCGGGATGTCTGGTGCATCCGGGTCTCCCTCAGGGGCAATCAGCATGGACACGAGATGGGGCAAAGCAGCGGCAAAGCACTCAAACTCCTCCTGCCTGTCCTCAAGGACGTCAGTGCCAAGAGCACACTCACCCCCGACGGACGGAGGACAGACAACAAGAATAGCGGCGTAGTCTAGACGACAGGCAGCAGCAAAGTCAACAAGCTCAGCGACTAAGGCAGACGCAGCTGCAGACTCAAACGACGGGTCAGTGACAACAGTGGCTAGCAGACGCGTGACAGTAGGGTGAGCAGCACGAGCGCGGTCAGACTCAGGGTCAGCAATGACAGGCAGAGAAGACTCAGGAGGAGATGGCAGGGGAACACGCTGCGGAGCGGAGGAAGGACGCAAGGCCATGAGGTGTGTGCCGGGGACACCCGGCGGACGCTCACGAGGAACATGACGACCAGTACGACCAGTGCGGTCAGTGCGAACAGGCGAGACAGGACGAGACGCAGGCTCAGGACCCTCAGCAATTCCACCTGTCAGCTCAGTGTAAGGCGAAGGAGCAGGCAGCGGTGAGCCAGGCTGTAACGGAAGACCAGTAGAAGACGGGAGGCTAAGAACCTGGCAAAGCACGGAGCCAGGCGGTGGCAGATACGAGGGCGACGGCGGAGCGAAGAACAGTCGCGGCGGCGCAGCGCCACCAGCACCAGTAGCTCTAGCACCGCTTGCAGCTCCAGAACCTCCAGCGCCAGCATCCGCAGCAGCTCCAGAACCTCCAACTCCGGCGCCACCAGCGCCAGCACCTCCAACAGCTCCAGAACCTCCAGCTCCAGCGCCACCAGCGCCAGCACCTCCAACAGCTCCAGAACCTCCAACGCCAGCACCCCTAGCAGCTCCAAAATCTCCAGCTCCAGCGCCACCAGCGCCAGCACCTCCAACAGCTCCAGAACCTCCAGCGCCAGCACCTGCAGCAGCTCCAGAACCTCCAGCTCCAGCGCCACCAGCAGTAGCACCCCCAGAACCGGCACCTCCAGCTCCAGGGCCTCCAACCTCAGAGTCGACAGGAGCACCTCCAGGTCCAGGAGGACCTCCAGTCCCAGCAGCTCGAGTACCTCCAGTACGAGCACCTCCAGGAACTCAAGTAGAAACAACTCCAGTAGCAGAGTCACCAGCTCCAGCGCCTCCCGCAGCAGGGCCCCTAGCTCCAGCAGCGCGACCCTGACGGCTAACGTACCACTCACGTAGCTGCTGTGGGGAGAGAGGGACAGTGCCGGCTCCAGTGCTTCCAACACCAGCGTCTCCCGCAGCAGGGCCCCCAGCTCCAGAAGCTCGACCCTGACGGCCAACGTACCACTCACGCAGCTGCTGTGGGGAGAGAGGGAGACGACGACGAGAGTGCAGCGGCGAGGCACCAGTAGAGCGACTACGGAGACGGCCGCTCCAGGGAGACTGCTCACCAGACACCGCAGCGCCCCCAAGTGCAGCACCCCCAGACTCAGCACCCCCAGACTCCTCACGCCCAGGCTCAGCACCTCCAGGCTCCGCAACCCCAGGACCAGCACCCCCAGGCTCCGCACCCCCAGGCTCAGCACCCCCAGAAGCAGTACCCCGAGCAGGACCACCCTCAGCAGGACCTGAGTCACCAGTGACCTCAACCGGTGCAGTTAAGGGAGGAGGGTCTACCTGAGACACACCTAAAGGAGCAGGAACGGGAGCGGGGAGGGGGGCTACTTGGGGAGCACCTGGTGCAAGGAAGAGTGGCGGGGGGGGGGAGAGGGGCAGTGTGGTAGGGGAAGAGACGGTAAAAGGGAACCGACTCGTCGAACCTGACGTCCTGAGAGGGGAAGACACGGCGCGAGGTGGGGTGGTAAAACTGCCAACCAGGCGCGTCAGGGACAAGCCAAGGAACACACAGGGAACAGCGCGGGCGGAGAGCTTGTCCGCGGTGGTATCGCGGACAAAGGCACGAGAACCCCAGACCCGGAACACCGACGCATCGCCAACCTCCCCCGTCCACCGCAGTGTGGGCGAGGTCTCCGGCAAGGAGACACGGGGCCAGAGGTTGAGCTGATGCGCGGCGTAGCGGACCGCAAACTGCCACAGAAAATGGGGGGCAGCCGCATGGACCATGGAGGTACGAGCGACCTCCATGAGCAAGCCAATGCGGCGCTCAGCAACCCCATTCTGCTGCGGAGAGGCCGGAAGCGTGAATGTCTCGTGAATGCCCTCCCCACAACAAAAGCTCTGCAGAATGTCGGAGGAAAACTCCCCACCTCTGTCAAAGTGCAGACGCAGGACGGGAAACTCCGTCCCGAACCGCTCGCGGAGCTGGAGACGAGCAGCGCGGATCCAAGGGATCAAAACATCAGGGACCTCACCCTTGGTGCGCAAGGGGAAGACTGTGGTGTAACGCGAGTAGTCGTCAACAACCAGCAGGAAGTACCGCTCGCGGTCCTGCCCACTGACGCGGGCTGGGCCCCACACGTCCATGTGCAGGGTCCGCAGGGGAGCAGTCGTCGGGGGAAACGAGGAGTGAGAAGCGGCGCGCTGCCGCCCCTCCACACAGGGAAGACAGGGAGGACCAGGCGAGGGTGGGAGGGGAGG